AATCACTTTTAATCTTAGTAATCACACTGTATCATACATATTATTGGCTCAAATTCTATTTAATCTCATCATTCAACACAAACTAATCACAAAATTGAAGATTTCCGCCCATATGGTTAAGTTACATTACAGTCTCGTAAGTTACAATGTAATTTCATGTAATGAAAATGTAATTTTGTGTAATACAATCCTATTCAGATGATAATTTTGCTATAGTGTTGTTGGCTGGTATTATTTCTTAATGCCGGCCTAGCTCCGGCCAATTCCGACCCTAAATTTTGGTTGATCTGCTGAATTCTGGTTACTCCACTAATCTATCTCTGACGGTAATCCTTCGGCGTTTCTCATAAGACATAAAGGCTTTAAAGGCTCTAATTATTTATTGCAGTACTATAAGTGTTGTACTATATTGTACTTTTCTATAATACAGTACGAAAATATCTTTTTTTTTTCCAGTGTCCCAAGACAGAGGATCGTCGTAAGACGCTACTTTTATTAGATATCAATTGATATATTACAAACGATACATCCTTTTAAATTAAATTATATATTGATTAAGAGTTTATAACGCTAACTTGTTGGTTGCTACCTGTTCTCTGTAGGACTTGTAGTTCTTTTATTAGCCGATCTTTCAAATGAATGGTAAAGTACTCTCCTCCAGTTGATTACTAGCCAGAACCAAATTTCAAAGATTATATTAATATGGGGCCAGACCATGAAGGCATGATTCTGGAACGTTCTTGCATTGTTTGCGGTGATGATGTTCTCCAGCGTGGTTTGAAGGTGTTCCTGAGGAATATTGAAGAACCCGTGGGTGATCTCCATATTTTTTTTACTGATACAGCACTCAATTACGAATGGGGGTACGAAAATGTCTTTATATAGCACACTATATATATGTACAGTATCTTCGTACTGTATCGTATCATTTCGAAATTTTATAAAATACAGTGCTAAATTATCTTCCGTACAGTATACTATATATATATATTCAACAATTCGGGCATCACATAAATGGCATATCTCTAGTTATGATACTATAATATGTTAGTTACTGCTATTTTCATAATTTCTGGAACACCTGATAAAAATTAGCCGAATGATTTTTCGACCGATCCGATTAAGTTT